CCCCCCCCTCTCTCTCTGTTCGTCACCAATTATCACGCAGCAATTAGCGGCGTCAGGGGCCCCGTGCGAAACTCGTGTGGACCCAACACCTCGAGACTCAGGCGACAACCCACACTGACACCACCACTGTGTGTGTCACAGTGTGTGTCACTGTGTGTGTGTGTCACTGTGTGTGTCACTTTGTGTGTGTGTCACTGTGTGTGTACGTGTGTGTGTGTGTCACTGTGTGTGTGTCACTGTGTGTGTCACTGTGTGTGTGTGTGTCACTGTGTGTGTGTGTGTCACTGTGTGTGTGTCACAGTGTGTGTCACTGTGTGTGTGTGTCACTGTGTGTGTCACTTTGTGTGTGTGTCACTGTGTGTGTCACAGTGTGTGTGTGTGTCACAGTGTGTGTCACTGTGTGGTGCATCAGCCAGTCATCTCGGTCATCTCGGTCAGTCGACCAGTGGCACCTGGGTTGCCCCGTGACCTCCTGCCAGCGGGCTTTCGACACTTCACGTGGCCTCAAGGTGCACTTGGCCTGGCACAAGCATCGTGGTGACGTCACCGCCACTTAGTGGCGAATGGCGGTTGTTGTTGTTGTTGTTGTTGTGTCACTGTGTGTGTCACTTTGTGTGTGTGTCACTGTGTGTGTGTGTGTACGTGTGTGTGTGTCACTGTGTGTGTGTCACTGTGTGTCACTGTGTGTGTGTATCACTGTGTGTGTCACTGTGTGTGTGTGTCACTATGTGTGTCACTGTGTGTGTGTGTCACTGTGTGTGTGTCACTGTGTGTGTATGTCACTGTGTGTGTGTATCACTGTGTGTGTCACTGTGTGTGTGTATCACTGTGTGTGTATCACTGTGTGTGTGTGTCACTGTGTGTGTCACTTTGTGTGTGTGTCACTGTGTGTGTATGTCACTGTGTGTGTGTATCACTGTGTGTGTCACTGTGTGTGTCACTGTGTGTGTCACTGTGTGTGTGTCACTGTGTGTGTGTCACTGTGTGTGTGTCACTGTGTGTGTGTGTCACTGTGTGTGTGTCACAGTGTGTGTCACTGTGTGTGTGTCACTGTGTGTGTGTGTCACTGTGTGTGTGTCACAGTGTGTGTCACTGTGTGTGTGTCACTGTGTGTGTGTGTGTCACTGTGTGTGTGTCACTGTGTGTGTGTCACTGTGTGTGTCACTGTGTGTGTGTCACTGTGTGTGTGTGTGTGTCACTGTGTGTGTGTCAGGTGGTGCATCAGCCAGTCATCTCGGTCATCTCGGTCAGTCGACCCGTGGCACCTGCTGGGTCTGCCCCGTGGCCTCCTGCCAGCGGGCGTTCGACACTTCACGTGGCCTCAATGTGCACTTGGCCTGGCACAAGCATCGTGGTGACGTCACCGCCACTTAGTGGCGAATGGCGGTTGTTGTTGTTGTGTGTGTCACTGTGTGTGTGTGTCACTGTGTGTGTGTCACTGTGTGTGTGTCACTGTGTGTGTGTGTGTGTACGTGTGTGTCACTCTGTATGTGTGTGTACGTGTGTGTCCGTGTGTGTGTGTGTGTGTCCGTGTGTGTAGTCCGGCAAAAACAACCCCCCTACCTCTTCGTTGGTGCCGGACGGCAGCGCTGTGATGGGCAGTGCCGTGGGGGGCAGTGCCGTGGGGGGGCAGTGCCGTGGGGGGCAGTGCCGTGGGGGGCAGTGCCGTGGGGGGGGGGAGGGCCAACTTAGATTGGCTATTCCCCCCATGGCGTTTGTAGCCACCACAGTGGCCAAATGGGGGCTCTGGACGGGTGCGAGGGCCTGGTAACCCCTCCACCTTCAATGAATTAGCACCACACCACGATTAGGCCCCAGGGGGACCGGCGTCTGTGACGTCTCCTGGCCAAAAGTCATTTGGCGGAGCCAGGAGACTAAATCTTCACCCTCGGGGCTCCTCCAGAAACAACAAGAAACCACTATGTGTGGCCACGTGGAATGTTTGAACGCTCACTGCAGAGGAGAGGCTGCCACTCCTCTGTCGGGAGCTGGACCGGTACTGCCTGGATCTCTGTGGTATTCAAGAGGTCTGGTGGACTGGCTCTGGCTCCTGCCACCATGACAGTCCTCTACTCAGGGCAGGAGACTGCCAAACAACAGGGAGTGACTCTTCTTCTGAACAAAATAATGAAGGGAGCGTGGGAGCGTGGCGGTGAGGTGTGGGAAGCTGTAAGCCCCAGGCTACTTTGGGCTCGACTTCCCATCAACCAGAGGCGAGGAGTGGTGGTCGTGGTTACTTATGCCCCCACCGAAGACGAACATTCGTGGAGGGATGCAGGCAAGGCTGATGAGTCAGAAGCCTTCTATGACCTCCTGTCACAGGTGCTGGCTAAAGTGGCCACTCGGGACAGAGTCATCTTGTTGGGTGACTTCAATGCCCGAGTTGGTCATGATGCTGGCACCTGGTCTGGAGTGATTGGAAGGCATGGGCCAGATCAGCTCGATAACACCGGCAGGATGCTGCTAGATTTTTGTGCAGCTCATGGGCTTGTAATTACCAACACGCTGTTCCGGCATCGGCGCATCCACACAACATAATGGATGCATGCCGGGTCCATGCAAGAACATCTGCTGGACTACATAGTGAGGGGAAATCCTTCAACCTGGAAAACATCGTGGCACAAAGTGGGGATGAATCTACTGAGGCTGCGGTGCCTCAAATATTGGAAGAAGAAGTCACCCCCTGTGAGTGGCTGGCTGAGGTGCCATCTATTGAGGAAGTACTGAAGGCGATCTGGAGTTTGAGACCAGGAAAGACACCGGGCAGAGATGATCTCCCAAGCGAAATTCTGAGGGAGGGTGGCGTTTGTGCACAGACTGCCCTACATGACATCATAACAACAGTCTGGACCACTGGACGGGTTCCGCAGGATTGGAAGGATGCCCTGGTGGTCCCCCTCTCTAAGAAGGGGGACCGCACAGACTGTAACAACTACAGGGGAATCTCACTCCTCAGTGTGCCGGGAAAGGTCTTGGTAAGGATTTTTCAACATCGCCTTGCTAGGCACGCTGAGGAGAGGCTTACGGAGCCGCAATGCTGTTTCAGAAAAGGGCAGTCTTGCACAGATGCCATATTTTCTGTCCGTCTGCTACAGCAGAGGTGTAGGGAATTCCAAAAAGACCTACATCTCTGCTTTATTGACCTGGTCAAGGCCTATGATACCATCAGTAGGACTGGACTCTGGGTTGTTCTTCGTGCTTTCGGAGTCCCTGACCCTCTGCTCACGATCATTAAGGACCTTCATGATGGTGAGCGGGCCCGGGTAAAACTACGTGGCCGGGAGTCGGAGCCTTTCCCTGTACACCTTGGGGTGCGACAGGGATGTCCTCTGGCTCCCACATTATTTAACATCTATTTTGACCGCGTAGTTCGTGAAGCCTTCAATAGCTGTACCGGGGGAATTTCCGTTTGGTACAGATATAATGGGAGGCTGATCGACGCCCGGGTGCGATCAAGGGATGGCTCCCTATTGGTCAACCACGTTATGTATGCCGATGATTTGGTAATAGCTGCTCATTCAGAAGAGGAGTTGGAGGCGCTGCTGCTGAGACTGGAGCGTGCCACTAAGAGGTGGGGCCTTACCATCAGCCCCACCAAAACCAAGCACCTGCCTGGGTATTTTGTACCATCGGACACTCCACCCCCACAACTCCCAATTGGTGATGGGGCAGTTGTGGAGAGAGTGGAGAGTTTCCCATACCTGGGCAGTATGCTTATGACCGGCTCCAGTCTATCAGCAGAGGTCTCACTCCGAATCAGTCGAGCGGCAATATCTTTTCATCGGTTGCGTAACGCTGTGTGGAAGCTACCTGGTCTGTCGCTCCGCACGAAGCTTCAGGTCTTCTCGGCCACGGTCATTCCCTCCCTTCTCTACGCTTGCGAGACGTGGACCCCCCTGGTGGAGCATCTTCGCCGGTTGGAAACATTTAGGCTGGCCTGCCTACGATCCATCCTGGGTTTAACCAGGCTGGATTGTGTGAGGAGCTCACAAATCCTTGAAAGATCTGGGCAAAGTCCCATCAGTGAGCTCCTCCGGCAGGCAAGGCTGCGTTGGCTGGGTCATGTAGCCCACATGCCCAGCCACCGCATGCCTAAACAGCTTTTGTCCGGCCGGATCGAGGAGGCTAAACGGGCGCGGCACGGGCTAGAGAAGAGATGGAGTGATGTGGTACAGGAGGACGTGGAGCTGAGTGGACTTGACGATGACTGGTACCAGCGGTGTCAAGATCGGCCTCTGTGGAGGAGGCTCGTGAAGGACGCTACTGGGCAGTTGGAGGCAGTCGCCCTACAACAACAACGGAGGGCGGAGGAGCGACGCTCACAACAACGAGCGGAGCGCCGGGTGGCTAAAGCACAGCAAGTTGGTACAGTAGGGGGCACAGGTTATCTCGGTCAGTCGACCCGTGGCACCTGCTGGGTCTGCCCCGTGACCTCCTGCCAGCGGGCGTTCTACACTTCACGTGGCCTCAAGGTGCACATGGCCTGGCACAAGCGTCGTGGTGACGTCACCGCCACTTAGTGGCGAAATGCGGTTGTTGTTGTGTACGTATGTGGGAGCCACTCTGTATGTGTTTTTTTTACGTGGGTTGTTGTTGTATGTGTCACTCTGTATGTGTGTGTACGTGTGTGTGTACGTGTATGTCCCTGTATGTGTGAGTCTGTACGTGTGTCTGTACGTGGAGAGCGGTGGTGTAGCGGTTAGCGCACTGCGTTATGAACCGCTCACGGCCAACACCAGTGACGATTATCTGAACCGGTCTTGGGCCTCCCCTAGGTCGACTCAGCCTGAAATGAGTACCCGGTGCGGTGTGTAAATATTTCCACTGGGGAGACAAAGGCGGTCGGGCGTGGTGCTGGCCACCCACCCCCCTCGTGTGCCGTGCCGGCCTTCATAGGTGCTGCTCGCTAACAGCACTTGCCCCAACAGCCTGTTAAGGCTACACGGGGGATCTTTGTCTTTTTTTTTAAAGATACGGGCAAGGCCACCTGACCTCCTCACCTCATCTCCTGCTCACACCTCATCACAGCTCTCGTTATAGCACACACACACAGAGAGAGAGAGCGTGGTGGGGGAGAGGAAAGAGTGGGGAGTTGGGAGAGATTTGGGGGGAGAGATGGGGAGAGTGGGGAGAGTGGGGAGAGTGGGAGTGGAGAAAGTGGGGAGAGTGGGGAGAGATGGGAGAGAGATGGGGAGAGAGATGGGGGAGTGTAGAGAGTGGGGAGAGTGGGGGAGAGTGGGGGAGAGAGTGGGGGAGAGAGATGGGTGAGTGTAGAGAGTGGGGAGAGAGTGGGGAGAGTGGGGAGAGAGTGGGGAGAGAGTGGGGAGAGTGAGAGAGAGTGGGAGAGAGTGGAGAGTGAGAGAGAGGTGGGACAGAGATGGGGGAGATGTAGAGAGTGGGAGAGAGTGGGGAGAGTGGGGAGAGATGGGAGAGAGGGACAGAGATGGGGGAGTGGAGAGAGCGGGAGAGGGAGGAGAGGCGAGAGAGAGGGGGGGGGGGGGGGGAGATGGGGGAGTGTAGAGAGGGAGAGAAAGGGGAGAGTGGGGAGAGAGGGAGGAGATGGGACAGAGATGGGGAGTGTAGAGTGGGGGAGAGAGAGTGGGGAGAGTGGGGAGAGTGGGGAGAGATGGGAGAGAGATGGGACAGAGATGGGGGAGGTAGAGAGTGGGAGAGAGTGGGGAGAGTGGGGAGAGATGGGAGAGAGATGGGACAGAGATGGGGGAGTGTAGAGGGTGGGGAGAGAGATGGGACAGAGATGGGGGAGTGTAGAGAGTGAGGCGAGAGGCGAGGGGAGGAGGAGGATGGAGAGTAAGGGAGGAGCAGAGATAGTGGGGGTAAGAGACGACACGAGGGGGGTGAGAAGGGAGAGAAAGCGGGGAGAGAGAGAGAGAGGAGAGACAGCGAGATAGGGGGGGTGGAAAGCATCGACAGAGGCCACGCGATGTGGGGGGAGATGGGAGAGAGTGGGGGGAGAGTGGGGGGAGAGTGGGGGGAGAGAGAGAAATTGATTGATTTGGGTGGTGAGAATGATAATACATTCCTGTCGATTAATGTTACTTTATGATTAAAATCCACGCAATCCATCACGCGTGTGCGGTTATCATGCGTGTACATGGCTCTCATGCATGGGCTGTGTGTGTGTGCGCGTGTGTGTGTCCTTATAGGTGCACTCAGCCTCAAATGCGTGCCTCTTCTTGGTTCTTTCGGTAAAGTCACGTAGAATGGAAGTAATAAAATAATAAAATTAAAACATATTAAAATGATTCTCACGACGTTTCGGCCACAACGCAAGCGGCCGTCCTCAGGTGGAGAACAGGTCTGTCGGAAAGACAGCGTCTGACAGACCTGTTCTTCACCTGAGGACGGCTGCTTGCGTTGTGGCCGAAACGTCGTGAGAATTATTTTATTATGTTTTATTTTTATTATTTTATTATTTCCCTTCTACGTGACTTTACCGAAAGAACCAAGAAGATGAATCCCTGCAGTCACGAAAGAAGCTTTAAATCAAAAAATGAGTGCCTGGTGCGGTGTGTAAAAACATCGCCACTAGGGAGACAAAGGCGGCCGGGCGTGGTGCTGGCCACCCACCCCCTCGTGTGCCGTGCCGACCTTCATAGGTGCTACTGGCCAACAGCACTTGCCCCCAAAAGTAGTTTAAAGCTACAGGGACCGTCCATAAATGACGTCACGCACCTAGGGGGGTCAGACATTTGTGACGATGTGTGACGATGGGGGGGGGGGGTTGAAAAATGTGACGTCACATCAAAATGCGCAACTTTAAATGAATATAGACAACACGTTCTACTTAATTAAATAGACTTCTTAATAAATGTTTTCTCCTACAACATCAGAGTGCAGCGCCACATTAAATACGCACTACAATGACAATAGCTTAAAGCGATTTGAAGCATGTTTTATTTTTGGGGGGGGGCAGAGCTTTGTGACGTCATATTTGAGGGGGGGGTCTGACTTTTTGTGACGCCGTGTGACGAGGGGGTGGTGGGGGGGGGGGTCAAAAATCGTCCCAAACTCGCGTGACGTCATTTATGGACGGCCCTAAGACGGGTTCCTGAGCGGGAATCGAACTCGGTCTGGGCGCTCACACGCCGACTCACGCACACAGACAAAGATCCCCCGTATAGCCTTTCGCAGAATCTTGGGACAAGGGCTGTTCACGCGAGCACCTATACACTGTGGCACACGAGGGGGTAGGTGGCCAGCACCACGCCCGGCCGCCTTTGTCTCTCCAGTGTACTCATTTCAGGCTCAGGTACTTCATTTCAGGCTGAGTCGACCTAGGGCGAGACCCCGGACCGTCATCGGTGTTGGCCGTGAGCGGGAATCGAACTCGGTCCTACCAGGGCTGATAGCAGCAGCGTAGCGCTAACCGCGTCGCCACCGCTCCCCACGATTGTTTACATAGCGCACCGGGTCCTCGTTTTTAAGGCTGAGTCGACTCAGGGGTGGCCCAGGACCGGTCCAGATAAATCGTCGTGAGCGGGAATCGAACTCGGGTCGACGGGGTGGGGGGGGGAGGTTCGTAGCGACACCACCGCTAAACACACAAGACAAAGATCCCCCGTGTAGCCTTAACACACGTTTGTGGCAAGTGCTGTGTGGCGGGACACTCACTCACTCAACAACAACAACTGCCGTTCACCACGAGGTGGCGGTGACGTCACCACGGCGCCTGTGCCAGGCTAGGTGCACTTTGAGGCCACGTGCAGTGTCGAAGGCTCGCTGCGTTATATCCGCCCGGCGATCCGCTCGTTGTTGTGAGCGTCGCTCCTCCGCCCTCCGCTGTTGTTGGAGGGCGACTGCCTCCAGCTACCCAGCAGCCTCCTCAACGTGCACCTAGCCTGGCACTGCCCAGTGGCATCCTTCGCGAGCCTCCCCCATAGAGGCCGATCTTGACACCGCTGGTAACGGTCATCGGCAAGTCCACTCAGCTCCACGTCCTCCTGTACCACATCAGCTCCATCTCTTCTCCAGCCCGTGTCACTCACTCACTCAGCCACCTACTCACCCACTCACTCACCCACTCACTCACTCACCCACCCACTCAGCCACCCACTCACTCACCCACTCACTCACTCAGCCACTCACTCACCCACACACTCACCCATCAGCTCCATCTTTTCTCCAGCCCGTGTCACTCAGTCACTCACCCACTCACTCACCCACTCACCCACTCACTCACCCACTCAACCACTCACTCACTCACCCACCCACCCACTCAACCACTCACTCAATCACTCACCCACTCACCCACCCACTCACTCACCCACTCGCCCACTCACTCACTCGCCCACTCACTCACTCGCCCACTCACTCACTCACCCACTCACCCATCAGCTCCATTTCTTCTCCCGCCCGTGTCACGCCGGTTAAGCCCCCTCTATGCGGCCAAACTGAAGCTGCTTTGGGGCATGCAGTGGCTGGGCATGCGGGCTACGTGACCCAGCCAACGCAGCCTCGCCTGCCGGAGGAGCTCAATGATGATCGGACTGTGTCCAGATCTTTCAAGGACCCGTGAGCGACTCACACAATCCATTCACACAAACAAAGCCACAGATAAAGATCCCCCGTATAGCCTTAACAGACTTGTAGGGGCAAGTGCTGTTAGCGAGCACCTATGAAGGCCGGCACGGCACACGAGGGGGTGGGTGGCCAGCACCTCGCCCGGCCGCCTTTGTCTCCCCAGTGGCGATGCTTACTACACACCGCACCCAGCTACTCATTTGAGGCCGAGTCGACCTAGGTGAGGAGGCCCCGGACCGGTTCAGAGAATCGTCACCGGCGTTGGCCGTGAGCGGGAATCGAACTCTGGCCGACGTCTTTCGGAGCGCGGCGCGGCGCTAACCGCTGCGCCACCGCTCCTCACCGGCGCGCGCTCGCAGAAGGCAACAAACTCGGGTTAAATGAGGTCACGACACTAAGAGGCGACCGATACACGGGCAGGGGAACCCAGTGCGGAGGAGAGAGACACACAGAGAGAGAGAGAGAAAGAGAGAGACACGCACAGGAGGGGTGGGACAGACACCGCTAGTGGAGAGACATACAGAGGCACATGCAAGAAACGCCAACAGCAGAGCAAGGGGGCAGATACGCAGAGAGTGAGAGCAGAGGTCGCAACCGGGTACCCGATACCCGTACCCTACCCGATACCCGGCTACCCGCACCCGGGTACGGGTACCCGTTTGCGACCCTGGTGCGGCCGGGTACGGGTAGGCCGTGAGTCACTGGTGAGTAACTGTTTGTCACTCATTTCCCAACGTCTTGTCTCTTCTCACAATTCAAGTTCCTAGAATCAACCCACCCGCGCCTGCAACATGGCTTCATCCCAAAGGTCGCAATCAGGTACCCGATACCCGTACCCGGTCGGGTAGGGTACGAGTACGGCCGGGTACGGGTACCCATTTGCGACCCTGGTGCGGCCGGGTACGGGTACGGGTAAGGAATCAAAACCCGTTTGCGACCTCTGAGAGAGAGACAGCACGATTGAGAGAGACACGGGACGAGACGCTGCCTGTCTGTACGTCTGTTCGTATGTTTTTTTTCGTGCGTCGAAGTGAGGAGCGGTGGGTGTAGTGGTTAGCGCTACGCTGCGCTACGAACCTGGCCACCCGAGTTCGATTCCCGCTCACGGCCAAACACCGGTGACGATTATTATCTGAACCGGTCCTTGGCCACCTCACCTAGGTTGACTCGGCCTCAAATGAGTACCCGGTGCGGTGTGTAAATATCGCCACTGGGGAGACAAAGGCGGCCGGGCGTGGTGTTGGTCACCCAGCCCCTCGTGTGCCGTACCGGCTTTCATAGGTACTCGCTAACAGCACTTGCCCCAACAGTCTGTTAAGGCTATAGGGTGTATCTTTATCTTTGCATACGTATGTATATGTGTGTAAGTGTACTGTATTCGTGTGTAGGTATGCACGTGTGTGTATGTATGTATGTATACGTGTGCATGTGTGTCAGTGTGTGTGTATGTAGATGAGTGTGTGTGTGTAAGTTTGTGTGTAT